CAACAGAGTAAGAAACATAAGTAGTTAAAAATTTTTTTCCAGTTTTATTGAAAACAAAAAAAGACCTATATATAAAGAAGCAAATTAAGAATATCTTTTTTTTTTTTTTTTAATTGTAGTCTCACTCTGTCACCCAGGCTGGAGTACAGTGGCATGCTCATGGGCACTGCACCTTTGACCTGCTGGGCTCAGGCAATCCTTCTGCTTCAGCCTTCCAAGTAGCTGGTGCATACCACCACGCTCAGATAATTTTTTAATTTATTGTAGAGACGAGGTCTCACCATGTTGCATAGGCTGGTCTCAAGCCCCGGGGGCTCAGGCAGTCCTCCGCCTCTGCCTCCCAAAGTGCTGGGATTACAGGTGTGAGTCACTGAGCCTGGCAAGAATATTTCGTGTTGTTTCTGTTAGATGTAATTGCTCTGTAAGTATTCCCACCTCCTCAGTGCCTTCATTCTCTAGGTGGACTAATTTCTATTTACTTGTAACTCAATGTATTGATTGTGTAGAGTACTTAAAATTATTTGAACTAAGCCGGGCTCGGTGGCTCAGCCTGTAATCCCGCACTTTGGGAGGCTGAGGTGAGTGGATTACCTGAGCCCGTGGGTTCGAGACCCGCCTGGGCAACCTGACAAGACTTCATCTCTACAATAAATCAAAAAATTAGCCGGATGTGGTAGTGTGTGCCTATAGTTCCAGCTACTTGGAAGGCTGAGGCGGAAGGATCGCCGGAGCCCAGCAGGTCGAGGCTGCAGTGGCCAGGAGCAGCCACTGCACTCCACTCTGGTGACAGAGTGAGACTCCAACTCAAAAAAAGAAAAAAAAATTATTTGAACTACCTTATGAAGCGTGGGTAGAAATCAGAATTCAGCCAGTTGTATCAACCAAGGGCCATAGTAATTTTTATCATAATTATTGTCTTGATTGTAGGTTGATGAGAGCACATGCAGCCAATCTATAACTGATATAACATATAGCCTATCAATATATTGATATATATGTATAATCAGAGCATCGGTACTGTTCTTTGTAGAAGTTTTGCCTTTTTTTTTAATCTTCACATACTTTAAAAGAAGTTTTGTCTCCTGTTTCTTTCCATTGTGGAGCTAAGAAAGGAAACTGTAATTGAAGCTTTGTGAGTCAAACATTTTCCTATCCCACAAATACTCCAAATTAAGTAAAATAAAGTTAGTATTGTAGTTGCTAGGCAGAAATAAGGATATTTATTCTCCAGATCTTTTTGTAAAAATGTTACAGGCAAAAAATAATTTGCAAGCATTCTCAATGCATGATAATTTAATTAAGGGCATAAACAAAGTTAGATATGAAGAAAAATACCTGAATTTAGTACATAATACCAAAAACCAAGAGTCCTAAGATTTCTTCATTCAAAACACAAGGTAGAATGAAGAATTATTACAACTCTCAAGCAAAAGTAAAACACTGATGTCAAGTTAAAGGAAAACGAAAATAGAGTTTAATGTTGGATGATTAAGTTTGAATGTGAGCCACAGCGAATCCCCAAAGAATTGTGGCCTAAGTAAGATGGAAGTTTATTTTTCCCTCAATGTAGTTTATTTCCCCTCTTAAATCAAAGACACCCAAAGATGGGGGCTGGAACTGATATTGGCTCCACAGTGTCATCAGGGACCCAGCCAGGCTCTCTGCTACCTGTAGCATTGGCTTCCATATCAAGGTTAGCCTCTGACCCTCTGTGACTCTAAAACATCACCCTGTACTCACGACTCTCAGCATGAGGAAAGGGGGCTAGGGCTAAAGATGAAAGGACTTTTCCAGGGAGTCACCTTCCTTCAGTCAGGCCTCCTAGATGGCTTATCACCATTCTGCCTAGTCTTGCTAGCCAAACTCAGTCTTTTAGCTGGGTACTTTTGCAGCCTAGAGATGGCGGTTTCTTTCTATCTTTCTACTCTTTTTTTGGTGGCAGCTTTTACCAAGGAGAAAAGAAGTGTGTTTGTTGGAATTATCACCTGGCGATCTCTGTCTTAGTGTATACTGTGCCTTGGAACTCCCAAGATGGTATTGTCTAACTGTGAACTGTACTGTTTTTTGGTGGTTTTTTTTGAGTTGGGAGTCTCACTCAGTCGCCCAGGCTGGAGTGCCATTGCTGGGATCCTTCTGCCCCAGCCTTCCAAATAGCGGGATCTACAGGCACACGCTACTACCCCGGCTACTTTTTATTTAATTTTAATTTTATTTTATTGTAGAGATGCAGTCTCGCCAGGTTGCCTGGGCTGGTCTCGAACCCGCGGGCTCAGGCAATCCACTTGCCTCGGCCTCCCAAAGTGTTGGGATGACAGGCTGAGCCTCCCAGCCCCGCCATGAACTGTAAATTAATTACTCCTTGTACTTTTTTTTTTCCAGTGTGAGGGAGAGGGGACAGGAAGTGGGAAAGAAGAGAGACAGACAGTGGGAAGGAGAGGGAAGAGGATGTGGGAAGGAAGGAAGACAGGAAGTGAGAAGAAGGGAGACAGGCTGTGGAAAGAGGGGGACAGAAAGTGGGAAGGACGGAGGACAGGAAGTGGGGAGGAAGGGGGCAGGCAGTGAGGAGGAGAGGAAACAAGTAGTGGGGAGGAGGGAGAACAGGAATGGGAGAGGGGGAGACAGGAAGTGGGAAGGAGGGAGGACAGGAAGTGAGAAGGAGGGGAGACAGTGGAAAGGAGGGAGAACAGGAAGTGGGGAGGAGGGGACATGAAACAGGAGGGAGGGAGACAGGAAGTGGGAAAAAGGGGAAAGGAAATGTGAAAGGTGCAGACCACAGTCAGAAGGGCATCCCCAAGATGGCTCTGCCTCCCAAAG